ACTAACTATATCCCTACGGTAATGCGCGACATTGAGCGACACCATTGAGCCTATTGGGGCCAAATCGCGCGACATCCGCCGAAAAATAGGTCATGTTCGAGCGACAAGCTTGAAGGACAAGCTACAGGCGATATTGAGCTGTGAGATGTGAACAGCTCCATTGGACGAGCTACATTGAGAAACATTGCGCACGGAAATATTTTGGAGCGGAAATCGCGCGAAAAACCGCTTAGTGTGAACGGAGTCTAACTGTATCCCTAAACTCTATCCTTCACAGCTGGCTTCCTCCCTCACTATATCCCTATACTTCCTCCTACACAGCCCGGCTTTCTCACTAACTATATCCCTACGGTAATGCGCGACATTGAGCGACACCATTGAGCCTATTGGGGCCAAATCGCGCGACATCCGCCGAAAAATAGGTCATGTTCGAGCGACAAGCTTGAAGGACAAGCTACAGGCGATATTGAGCTGTGAGATGTGAACAGCTCCATTGGACGAGCTACATTGAGAAACATTGCGCACGGAAATATTTTGGAGCGGAAATCGCGCGAAAAACCGCTTAGTGTGAACGGAGTCTAACTGTATCCCTAAACTCTATCCTTCACAGCTGGCTTCCTCCCTCACTATATCCCTATACTTCCTCCTACACAGCCCGGCTTTCTCACTAACTATATCCCTACGGTAATGCGCGACATTGAGCGACACCATTGAGCCTATTGGGGCCAAATCGCGCGACATCCGCCGAAAAATAGGTCATGTTCGAGCGACAAGCTTGAAGGACAAGCTACAGGCGATATTGAGCTGTGAGATGTGAACAGCTCCATTGGACGAGCTACATTGAGAAACATTGCGCACGGAAATATTTTGGAGCGGAAATCGCGCGAAAAACCGCTTAGTGTGAACGGAGTCTAACTGTATCCCTAAACTCTATCCTTCACAGCTGGCTTCCTCCCTCACTATATCCCTATACTTCCTCCTACACAGCCCGGCTTTCTCACTAACTATATCCCTACGGTAATGCGCGACATTGAGCGACACCATTGAGCCTATTGGGGCCAAATCGCGCGACATCCGCCGAAAAATAGGTCATGTTCGAGCGACAAGCTTGAAGGACAAGCTACAGGCGATATTGAGCTGTGAGATGTGAACAGCTCCATTGGACGAGCTACATTGAGAAACATTGCGCACGGAAATATTTTGGAGCGGAAATCGCGCGAAAAACCGCTTAGTGTGAACGGAGTCTAACTGTATCCCTAAACTCTATCCTTCACAGCTGGCTTCCTCCCTCACTATATCCCTATACTTCCTCCTACACAGCCCGGCTTTCTCACTAACTATATCCCTACGGTAATGCGCGACATTGAGCGACACCATTGAGCCTATTGGGGCCAAATCGCGCGACATCCGCCGAAAAATAGGTCATGTTCGAGCGACAAGCTTGAAGGACAAGCTACAGGCGATATTGAGCTGTGAGATGTGAACAGCTCCATTGGACGAGCTACATTGAGAAACATTGCGCACGGAAATATTTTGGAGCGGAAATCGCGCGAAAAACCGCTTAGTGTGAACGGAGTCTAACTGTATCCCTAAACTCTATCCTTCACAGCTGGCTTCCTCCCTCACTATATCCCTATACTTCCTCCTACACAGCCCGGCTTTCTCACTAACTATATCCCTACGGTAATGCGCGACATTGAGCGACACCATTGAGCCTATTGGGGCCAAATCGCGCGACATCCGCCGAAAAATAGGTCATGTTCGAGCGACAAGCTTGAAGGACAAGCTACAGGCGATATTGAGCTGTGAGATGTGAACAGCTCCATTGGACGAGCTACATTGAGAAACATTGCGCACGGAAATATTTTGGAGCGGAAATCGCGCGAAAAACCGCTTAGTGTGAACGGAGTCTAACTGTATCCCTAAACTCTATCCTTCACAGCTGGCTTCCTCCCTCACTATATCCCTATACTTCCTCCTACACAGCCCGGCTTTCTCACTAACTATATCCCTACGGTAATGCGCGACATTGAGCGACACCATTGAGCCTATTGGGGCCAAATCGCGCGACATCCGCCGAAAAATAGGTCATGTTCGAGCGACAAGCTTGAAGGACAAGCTACAGGCGATATTGAGCTGTGAGATGTGAACAGCTCCATTGGACGAGCTACATTGAGAAACATTGCGCACGGAAATATTTTGGAGCGGAAATCGCGCGAAAAACCGCTTAGTGTGAACGGAGTCTAACTGTATCCCTAAACTCTATCCTTCACAGCTGGCTTCCTCCCTCACTATATCCCTATACTTCCTCCTACACAGCCCGGCTTTCTCACTAACTATATCCCTACGGTAATGCGCGACATTGAGCGACACCATTGAGCCTATTGGGGCCAAATCGCGCGACATCCGCCGAAAAATAGGTCATGTTCGAGCGACAAGCTTGAAGGACAAGCTACAGGCGATATTGAGCTGTGAGATGTGAACAGCTCCATTGGACGAGCTACATTGAGAAACATTGCGCACGGAAATATTTTGGAGCGGAAATCGCGCGAAAAACCGCTTAGTGTGAACGGAGTCTAACTGTATCCCTAAACTCTATCCTTCACAGCTGGCTTCCTCCCTCACTATATCCCTATACTTCCTCCTACACAGCCCGGCTTTCTCACTAACTATATCCCTACGGTAATGCGCGACATTGAGCGACACCATTGAGCCTATTGGGGCCAAATCGCGCGACATCCGCCGAAAAATAGGTCATGTTCGAGCGACAAGCTTGAAGGACAAGCTACAGGCGATATTGAGCTGTGAGATGTGAACAGCTCCATTGGACGAGCTACATTGAGAAACATTGCGCACGGAAATATTTTGGAGCGGAAATCGCGCGAAAAACCGCTTAGTGTGAACGGAGTCTAACTGTATCCCTAAACTCTATCCTTCACAGCTGGCTTCCTCCCTCACTATATCCCTATACTTCCTCCTACACAGCCCGGCTTTCTCACTAACTATATCCCTACGGTAATGCGCGACATTGAGCGACACCATTGAGCCTATTGGGGCCAAATCGCGCGACATCCGCCGAAAAATAGGTCATGTTCGAGCGACAAGCTTGAAGGACAAGCTACAGGCGATATTGAGCTGTGAGATGTGAACAGCTCCATTGGACGAGCTACATTGAGAAACATTGCGCACGGAAATATTTTGGAGCGGAAATCGCGCGAAAAACCGCTTAGTGTGAACGGAGTCTAACTGTATCCCTAAACTCTATCCTTCACAGCTGGCTTCCTCCCTCACTATATCCCTATACTTCCTCCTACACAGCCCGGCTTTCTCACTAACTATATCCCTACGGTAATGCGCGACATTGAGCGACACCATTGAGCCTATTGGGGCCAAATCGCGCGACATCCGCCGAAAAATAGGTCATGTTCGAGCGACAAGCTTGAAGGACAAGCTACAGGCGATATTGAGCTGTGAGATGTGAACAGCTCCATTGGACGAGCTACATTGAGAAACATTGCGCACGGAAATATTTTGGAGCGGAAATCGCGCGAAAAACCGCTTAGTGTGAACGGAGTCTAACTGTATCCCTAAACTCTATCCTTCACAGCTGGCTTCCTCCCTCACTATATCCCTATACTTCCTCCTACACAGCCCGGCTTTCTCACTAACTATATCCCTATACTTCATCCTACAAAGCCTGACTTCCTCACTAACTATATCCCTATACTTCATCCTACACAGCCAGGCTTCCTCACTAACTATATCCCTATACTTCATCCTACACAGCCCAGCTTCCTCACTAACTATATCCCTATACTTCATCCTACACAGCCCAGCTTCCTCACTAACTATATCCCTATACTTCATCCTACACAGCCCGGCTTCCTCACTAACTATATCCCTATACTTCATCCTACACAGCCCAGCTTCCTCACTAACTATATCCCTGTACTTCATCCTACACAGCCCAGCTTCCTCACTAACTATATCCCTATACTTCATCCTACACAGCCCAGCTTCCTCACTAACTATATCCCTATACTTCATCCTACACAGCCTGGCTTCCTCACTAACTATATCCCTATACTTCATCCTACACAACCCGGCCTCCTCACTAACTATATCCCTATACTTCATCCTACACAGCCCAGCTTCCTCACTAACTATATCCCTATACTTCATCCTACACAGCCCGGCCTCCTCACTAACTATATCCCTATACTACATCCTACACAGCCCGGCCTCCTCACTAACTATATCCCTATACTACATCCTACACAGCCCAGCTTCCTCACTAACTATATCCCTATACTTCATCCTACACAGCCCAGCTTCCTCACTAACTATATCCCTATACTTCATCCTACACAGCCCAGCTTCCTCACTACTTATATCCCTATACTTCATCCTACACAGCTGGCTTTCTCACAGTGCTCACCCCGAGTAGTATTCGAAATTTGCAAAGTGAGAAAGCTTGCCTCGGTCAATGTCTACTAGAGATAGATGGGTGAGATAACAGCCAGGCAAGGGGAGCTCAGCGACAGCATTTCCAATGCTCCGAGACAACCCACGTGACTAAATAACACGATCTGCTCAGTGAAAGAACTCAGCTGACGCCCATTTTGTAAAAATAAGAGAAAAAAAAGTTAGTTTTATTTCCAGGCATTTATACATATTATGGATTTACAGCGAGCGTATCATACGTCTGGTTAACTTTTTTTTTTTTTTTTTATATCTGTCAGTGCCATTTTTGGTCATTAAAAAAACAAAGAAGAAGTCCATTCCCTTGGTCACAAGCTCCTCTCGTCCTCCATCCCCGTGTCATTAGAGGCCTCCTCCAGAAGACGCCGCGGGCACGGTCATGCACAGCCTCCTCCGCCCCTGATTTGGTTTTACACTTAAATAAATAATTAATTCCTGCCGAGACTTTTTCGCGGGATCAATGGAAAAAAAAAAGGGTAAAGAAAACTAAAAATAATTACAAAATACACAGAAGGTTGAAATAAAATGTTTCTTCTCCTCCCCCTCCCAATCTCAGCAGGTTATCCTAGTCGACACAGTGATTCTCCGCGGCGTGTGGTTCCTAGTAATCCGTAATGGCGTCTTCGGGGATCAGGGTGTTAAACGGACGGTCCCATAGGGTGCTGGTGATGCCGAATCCTGAAGAGAGGAAGACGAGATGATTAAAGGGAAATGCAAGGCTAGTTTTTTAAATAGTGTACAGCAGTGCCTACCTAAAAGCTGGACTCGATTCATGAAATAATTAAAGTCATTATTCATTCAAATTAATTTTTAAATTGTAATATTACTATTAAAATGATTTTAATTGTTTTTATTCATTTTAAATTGCATGTGTAAGGAGCTCCGCTTGAGTTGCCATCAGACTCTTTTATTCCCTTGTACCAATATACTTCACACACGTGGACAATCCTGATATCCCCTTGCTGTGAATCCACCTTGTGTTAGACTGTGTTCATTAGGGATGCACCGATGCCGATACCGAGTATTTGGGCGAGTACTCCGTTATTTACCTCCAATACCGGAACTTCCTTTCAGAGATCTCCCTCTGACCGGCAGTGCCGAGGGAGCATGGAGCCGACTTACATTAAAATAAACAGCTGCTGAAAACTGGGGGAACTGTGTGGAGGTCGGCTTTTCTATACAGCGCTGACTGTTTATTGTCATGTAAGTTTTTAGAGCACATGTAATTAAAGGTTTTAAAAAGGATTTTACACTATTTTACACTATGTGGCATTTGTTCCCTTTTTTTCTATAGGATATGAGAGACATTGGATAAGGATCGCTGTGCGGAGCAATTAGCCATCTGCTGGCCGGAGTGGAGGAGAAGTCGGCGCTACAGCGAGTACACAGAGCGCTTTTAGACCATCATTATTTGTGGTCTAAAATTTATGGTGAGTGCGTTATTGAATGTGCACATTAGGATTTGTCACGGTGAAGCACTTATCGTGAATAGTAGGGATGCACCAATACCGTTTTTTCAGGTATCGAGTATGAGTACCGATTATGAGGAAGTTGGGTGGCGGATCATGACCTATCGCCCGGCTTACAGATTGCCTGGGAAGACAGCGTTCTATGAAAAGAACACCGGCTTCATTTGCCGAGGTTGCCTGGCTTCCTGACCAATCAGGAAGCCAGGAGTCGAATCATGACTCCTGGTTAGGATTGGTTAGGAAACCAGGCTGCCTACCAACAAATATAGCTGTCTTCCTAGCCAATCAGAAAGCCGTGCTGCACGTCATAGCCTGCCTCCCGGCTTCCCGATTGGCTTGGAAGCCGGCTTCACTTGTTCCTAGTCAGCCTACCTTCCTGACCAATCAGGAAGCCGGGAGGCAGGTCATTACGTGCCGCCCAGCTTCCTGATTGGTTAGGAAACCAGGCTGCCTACCAACAAGTGAAGCTGGCTTCCTAACCAATCAGGAAGCCGTGCTGCACGTCATGACACGCCTCCCGGCTTCCTGATTGGCTAGGAAACCGGCTTCACCTGTTCCTAGTCAGCCCAGCTGCCTTACCAATCAGGAAACCGGGAGGCATGTAATTAAGTGCCGCCCGGCTTCCTGATTGTTTAGGAAGCCAGGCTGCCTAGCAACAAGTGAAGCCAGCTTCCTAGCCAATCAGGAAGCCGGGAGGTGGGTCATAACCCACCATCCAGCGTCCTGATTGGAAAGTTTCAGAGGTCTGTCTCAGAGGTATTAAGGCTGCCTAAAAGCGCAGCCAGTAGGATGACACCCCTCTCTCTATGGACAATTGTGGGATGTCAGAAGTCTGAATCACTATCTGAAAGGAGTTGAGATGGCTGTGAAGGAACTGCTTCCCTAGATATACATAGAAACTAAACCAGCCTGCCTGCTTTCAGATAAGGGCTCAAGCAGCACACAGCCCTTGGCTTTCCAGGGACAGTTAACTAAGATGAGGATTATAAATCACTGAAATGTCCTTTAAGTCAGTAAAAACTCCCATAAGAACCCCCAACAAAACATTGGCGATAGGCGTGCCAAGATATTAGGAACCGTTATAGAACAGAGACAAGAAAGTACCTGTTTTTTGATGCTCGAAGTGATGGCGAACATGATAAGACTTGAGCCAGGCCAGGTAGGAGCCCTTCTTTGGTGACCCGTAATGTAGATAGTAATGCATCATGTCATATACTACGTATCCAAACAGGCCTCCAACAAAAAGGGAGAGACCAACCACAGGAGGAAGCACCATCTGCAGGATAACGTAGAGGGGTACGATCACGAAGGACGCCGGGACCGGAGGGAACACCAATCGCGAGCTGTCGAAAGGAGCCTGGCAATGAGAAAATACTGGTTAATGAAGGGCCCAGCAGACAGGCTCGGGTCAGCCTCCGTGAGCCTAAAATGGCCGACAGAGAAGCAAAAACTGCCCATAAAGCCAAAATACATACATATATAGGTTAATTTAACACAAAGCCTGTCTGGTTCTGCTACATGTTGAAGGGCCGCAGGTGCAAATGGGTTAAATCACTCCAATAAGATTTCTGAGCTCCCTGCTCTGCCCACCTCCCGCGAGCATTGCAATGGTTTCTTGCTGGTTCTATTGGACTTTCTTTATTACGAGAAATGCAGCAAAAGAAGTAAGACATCATGGGACGGGAGAAGAAGCAGAACCAGGAGTAATGCTCTCATATCAGTAGTTCATAAGAAGTCAAGGCTGACTCAAGCTACCAGCATCCAACCATAGGTATATTAGTTCTGGATTCCAAGCTCCCCACAGGCACTACAAAGGTGTTTCCCACTCCCTGTTGGGATTTCAGAGAGGGTCTATCCATAGCTGACATGAAAGTATTGCATTGGCTGATCTTCAGGGGTGGGCAATTCCGACCCTCCAGCTGTGCTTTAACTACATATCCCAACTTGCCTCTGGCTCGGAGAGTTATGCATGCAACTGTCAGTCTTGCAATGCCTCATGGGACTTGTAGTTCCCCAACAGATGGAAAGTCCTAGCTGCCCGCCCCTGCATTGGAAACCTATGCCATGCTCACCTTATGGTGCTGCCCATGCAGCATAAAGTGCAAGGTGATGAGGAAGTAGTTGCTGGCTGGGGGGTTCATGTGAAATATATATCTGTGAATTCCATATTCCATCAGGGTCCAGACCATCATGCCGGCAAAGAACAGAGGGAAGAAGAAGAACACGGGGACTGGGATGGAATAGTCTGAAATATTAAAAGGACATCAGCATCTGAAGCCAACCCGTTCCATCGAATGACACTGCAAACAATACAACTCCACACTGGGTTCATTCAATTAATTGGTGAAAGGAGCAGAATGCATCTCATTATGGGGATAGGTAAAGGGGATTCTGATTGGTTATTATGGTCCTGCATAAGACGTGACATCAGCGGTCCTTTGACTGCCAGAGCCTGGGGGAGAAGAGGCAGCGGGCACTGGTGTCCTTAGACTTTTTGCTGCCTGAGATGGAGAGGTATAGCGGTGGTGGTGCATGACAGTGACCCCGGGTCCGGCATCCCGTTCAGCTCCTGGCAACCAGTCACATCACAGGTTGCCAGGAGCTGGGCAGGACGCTTGCCCAGGGTGTCCCAGGTGGCATCTCTTTAAGTCACATGGGAGGGGGCGGCATCAGGGTGGCATGTTTGTTGTATAGTGGCCACTCTGCTGCACAATGCCGTCTCCTTTCCAGCCAGAGCACCCCTGGCTGGAAAGGGGGCGGCATTGTGCAGCAGAGTGGCCACTATACAACAACCATGCCGCCACCCCACATGACCCAAAGAGATGCCACCTAAGGCAACAGCCTCAGGCTGCCTCATTAAAGGCTGTAGGGACTGGTCTAGCAGGGTGCTATAAGGCAACATGTATCTTCATTTCAGCACAAAGTCCATGGAGGAATGTGCCAAGACGAGGTGTGCACAGTCCAAAATAGATTTTCTTCAATAGGCATATACTATAATATAAACATCCAACACACTTTGGAATCCTGCTTCATCAGGGCTAAAAAAATTTGATTAAAGGTTTCCTAATAATATACACAAATTCCCAAAAAATACACAACTAGAAATATATCAAGTATGCATGAAGTACTGCACTGTGCATCCTTCATTTCGGGGCTTCCCCCGTGGACTTTGATCCTAGGTCAGAAGACATTGTGCCAATGACGTCCATTTCCCCCAGGACCTGTCCTCCAGCCTCCCATAATACAAAGGACCTCATTTTGAACCCCAAGACAAGTTACTTTGAACACTTTTTTCTTCCTTTAATTTTTGTGACCTTCCTGTATCTTCACGTTAAGACACGGATGATGCACGATTTTTCTAAAAGAGCAGAAATTATATTTTTTGCACCATGAAGATTCTTTGCGGGGAGCGCCTAAGGGAGAGAGCAATAGTAGTAAGTAACACGTGGCGTTTCATACCTGTTGTGAACGTTGCAAAGAGTCTGGTCTGCCCCCGGGAAAGTTCTGAGAGACAATACCAAGTTAAATACGCGACAATTGGTGCCCACACTGCCAACACTATGTACCTGGAAAAAGAGGAAATCAGGAGTTTGTGTTATTATACATCAAAACTAAAAAAAAGTTACAATTTACCAGATTCCAAAAAGGTACCACAGAATGACACCTGATTCAGACCAGTTTGTATGTAGTGTCAGGTTTAGTGGGTACTGCGGGTGCAGAGGAATCAGCAAGTCTGGGTTTCCAGCTCCGCCCACTTTCTGATACCATTACAAGGGGGTCCCACTCCTAATAAGCCCTCCGGGCTGGGATAAGCAACAACCATCTGAATACACGTGTCATGTATACTGGAAGTCAGATGTGCCATGGAAAATACTGCTCCCCACTCTGACATCTTGGTTCTAATTATCTTTGATTCTATTAATCTCCCGAATTTCTGGACATAATATCACACAATGCTAATGAAGTCTAATTTACATAAGACGGTATATAATATGTGTATACTGTCATTTACATTATTATTGGGTTTTGCCTTTGTTTTTCATCTGTGAAATGTAATCCAAGTGACCTCTTTCTCTTTCTCTACCTTTCTTTTATCTGGGTCACTGTGGATACGCACAACCAACACACCCAAAGACAGGCAATGCTACATTCAATGAAGGGAATTTATCAAAACTGGAGCAAACAAAATCTGGAGCAGTTGCCCATGGCAACCAATCAGCATCTCTCTTCACTTTGCTCAGATAAGATTTGAAAATGAAACATAGAAGCTGGTTGTAATGCAAATCTACTTCAGGTTTTGTCTGCTCCAGTTTTAATAAATTCCCCCCACTGTCTGATTTGAATGTTTTTATCAGTGTGGTTCTATAGCACACCCTGTGGGAAAGGCAGACAGATGACTATCAGGATGCTGAGACTTGTGGTGTTAAATAATTCTCCTTAAAGTGAACATACACTGAAATTTGAACATAAAACATGTTAACAGTTTTGTTGTGTTGGATAAAGAACAAGAAAAGGGGTTAAATACCCAACTTTCCTGGCGAAAATGGTGCTCCAGCTTCCTTTCAGTGCTGCCCACATGCCTAATGGCTCGAGTATTTGGTCACCTGGTCTTTGGTGAACGGAAGGAGCAGCCGGTTCAAATTCATATCTTCCCCCTTAGCAGAGATCATGTGACCAAGTACTAGACCTTCAGATATGACCAGACCGGAAGATAATGAGGAGCTGCATTTTTTTCTAGAAAGATAAGTCTATGAAGGTTCTTATTCATCCAGGTCATGGTATGGTTAGTAGTAGTTAGTCAACTTCAACTGGACTTGGTTTGTAATGTTGAAGATGTTTTGCTGCTCATCCAAACAGCTTCCTCAATCTTAATACTGTAAGTGTTGGACATGACCCAGTATTTATATACACACGAGGAACCCAGTCATACTAATCCAATCATCATGGAATGTGTCACTGCAGATGATGATTGCTCAAGAACATGATGGGAGGTGTGAAAGTCTGTGTTCTAATTACATTTGTTCTAATTACATGGTGTAATCTGTTTAATTTAAGCGGCCAAAGGTGTTAATTGTTGACAAATAGCTGAGGTCGAGCCAAGGTGATGAATGGTTGTTTTACTTGACATGGACCTCTTTCATGCATCTTGAGATCCAGTTGTCCTCTCTATGCATTTCGCTGTTTTTAAAAGAATATATCTATTCCTTCAGCTGTTCTTGGACAACCAACATCTGCCTTAATACATTCCCATCGATGAGGTTGAGAGATGTTAAAATGGCATTATATGTGGGTGACAGATGGTGTCAAAGGCCAAGGTGATGAATGGTTGTTTCACTTGACATGGACCTCTTTCATGCATCTTGAGATCCAGCTCTCTATGCACCTCGCTGTTTAAAAAGAATATCTCTATTCCTTGAGGTGTTCTTGGACAACCAACATCTGCCTTGATACATTCCATGGTAATTGGATTAATGTGACTGAGTTACCCATGTGGATACAAATACTGGAGTATGTTCCTCAAATGAAGATGTTTGGCAACGCAACATCTTCAACATGAAAGTCTAGTTGAATGTGACATCTCCTACTAGGTATCTTGGAAAGGTAAGTATCTCTATTATTCTTGATTTATGGACCCCAAAATGGCAGCTTTATGTTAACACCTGATTATAGGTCTGCTCTCATGTTTACTTAAGCCAGCAGTAACCATTCATAGATTGCCTTTACGACCAGTTTAGCACACAGGTGACTGGTCACTCAGCAAATCTTGATTGCCGGTTGCTAGGAGTGTGTTGCCATAGGACATAATGTAAACATTATGGTTCCGGCTTCTTTTGCACCCTATTACCAGGCACCTGGTTGTCAAGTTTCTTCAACCTTTGTTGACATACACACAAAGATTTATTTGCCACCATTTAAAAAAAAAAAACAATTATGCCTTGGTGTACACAATCCATCAGCCCCTGACTTCTAATGTATCTTGAATACTCCAACAATAGGTTCTCCCTGCCATAGCTCCTGACTTTCTTCCTGTACACCTCTCCAACAATAAGTTCTCCCTATCATAGCTCCTGACTTTCTTCCTGTCCACCTCTCCAACAATAAGTTCTCCCTACCATAGCTCCTGACTTTCTTCCTGTCCACCTCTCCAACAATAAGTTCTCCCTACCATAGCTCCTGACTTTCTTCCTGTCCACCTCTCCAACAATAAGTTCTCCCTACCATAGCTCCTGACTTTCTTCCTGTCCACCTCTCCAACAATAAGTTCTCCCTGCCATAGCTCCTGACTTTCTTCCTGTCCACCTCTCCAACAATAAGTTCTCCCTACCATAGCTCCTGACTTTCTTCCTGTCCACCTCTCCAACAATAAGTTCTCCCTACCATAGCTCCTGACTTTCTTCCTGTCCACCTCTCCAACAATAAGTTCTCCCTACCATAGCTCCTGACTTTCTTCCTGTCCACCTCTCCAACAATAAGTTCTCCCTACCATAGCTCCTGACTTTCTTCCTGTCCACCTCTCCAACAATAAGTTCTCCCTACCATAGCTCCTGACTTTCTTCCTGTCCACCTCTCCAACAATAAGTTCTCCCTGGTATAGCTGCTGACTTTCTTCCTGTCCACCTCTCCAACAATAAGTTCTCCCTGCCATAGCTCCTGACTTTCTTTCTGTACACCTCTCCAACAACACGTTCTCCCTACCATAGCTCCTGACTTTCTTTCTGTACACCTCTCCAACAACACGTTCTCCCTACCATAGCTCCTGACTTTCTTCCTGTCCACCTCTCCAACAATAAGTTCTCCCTGCTATAGCTGCTGACTTTCTTCCTGTCCACCTGGGATATTTTGGGTGTTACCTCCCATTGCAATGATAAACCAACTGGGGTTTTATTTTTCCTTCTTTAGGATTAACGGGAAAGCAGGGGTTTATGTTAAAGTTAGCCTCCGTAACTGTTTATCCTTTTGCTCCCATTGCACCCATTTGGCTCCCTCCAGCTGTCTTGGGCTAGAAGAAAAGACATGGAGAGAGAGTCCTCAACCCTGTGTAAGCTCCCTGTGGTTGACTTGGAGCTTACACAAGGTTGAGGACTCTCTCCCCACCCCCCTATGACTCGAAGTGTTAGAGACATGAGAAAAGGAGTGTGAGTCACTGGATTCCCCAATTGGAAGCACCAGGTATTTCTCTTTGCTGCCAGCAGCAAATGAAGCCAAGAGACAGTAACTATAACCTGTTGCAGGGGCAGGTTGTAACAGGAACTTGTTGTTTTGCCCAGCATAGGCAAAGTGCAAGTTCAGGACAGCTCCATCTATAACTAAGCTTTCCAGAACCCGACCCATTAAACTAAATTGCACTAACTTAGTTGGGTCAAATGCTCCTTCAAGTGGAACCCTTACCAAGAAGTTTTGGAACACCACTCCACAAAGTCTGAGTGGAAGAGTCGTATTGGCCGGTCCACAGGTTGGTGCACCCACTCATCGTAGTTTTCTCGTAGGTGACCCACTTGCCACAGCAGTGGCTTCTCCCAGTTTACCAAGTCCTAAAATGAGAGGGACAGAACACAAACTTAGATAATATAAAATGTTCACTTATAAAACAGTGAAGGTATATAGGGAAATCATCTTTCACTCATATGAATAACAAGACATTTGAGGAGTTGTTATCATTTCTGCAATTTGCACATCATCTCAACTCTTTGCACCACATTATTTAAGGGTAAGGGCTTGTTGACACCAAGCGCGTTCCAGGAGCAGAGCAGTTACAGAGCGGATCGAAACTGCGTCCAATGTATTCCAATGGTATTTCGGGCTCTAGTTCACACTGCAGCGTTTAGTTCCAGAGCATGTAAAAAAACTGCAGCAAGCCCTATTTTTTCTGCTCTGGAACGCTCACAAACGCATCAAAAACACATGCAAACGCCCTGGAACGCACTGAAAGTCCATTTTAGGCTAAAAAACGCCACAAAACCCATTGCACTGCGTGTGCAGAAACTCATGCAGATCTGGTCTGCATTTCGTGTGAACAAGCCCTTAGTCAATCAAAAGTGTTTTCTAGTGTCTGGTGGGTGCTGGAGAAATAAACGATCTGGCAGTTCTTTATAATTACTGGTGAGATCTCTATACTGAGGTTCAACTCTGCACATCTCCTGTGCTCAATATGAGGGGTGCCCACCATCCCTGTGCTGAGTTCCCGGGTCTGTACACCTGCTGTGCCCATTATGAGGAGCTCCCACTATCCCTGTGCTGAGTTCCCGGGTCTGCACACCTGCTGTGCCCATTATGAGGAGCTCCCGTCATGCCTGTGCTGAGTTCCTGGGTCTGTACACCCGCTGTGCCCATTATGAGGAACTCCCACTATCCCTGTGCTGAGTTCCTGGGTCTGCACATCTGCTGTGCCCAATATGAGGGGCTCTCATCATCCGTGCTGGACTTTTTATTGAGTTTATACTAAGGAGAATGTAACCAGAGGATCTGGGAACAGACAAAAGTGGGCAGGGACACTCAAAATTTCCACATGGACAAGAAAATAGTCAGGAATTATGGCAGGGTGATATGTTGGAGTATCGAAGACCTACAAAAAGTTAGGAGCTGACTTAGCTCACCAGGCATTACCTACGGCTATAATATAACTTTCAGCAGACTGACCCTTTAGTTACGAGTTCAGAAAAGCATTCGCTCCTAAGAACTATGTTACACAGGTGATAATGGCAACGTCAAATATTCCCCTGTGAAATTGCTTAGATTAATCTTATCCTATGGTGGCGATAGCCTGTTGCCGAAACTATTGAGTTTCAGCAGCAACTCAAAGAGTGACAGAACAACCTGTGATAATGGAAGTGAAATCTTAACGCTAGGATGGGCCAGCAATGGCAGCACCCACATTTTTATGTTTACAGGTGACCTTTAAGTATACAAGGCTTTCTTATATCCTTGGCTATTTTATACCACAGCTCTGAAGACTGAAACCTGCACCCTGGGCTACAGCAATATCTGGTTTATATAGAAGAATGACATTGGACACCTTAGAGAGGAACCCTTGTACCCGGGTTTAAAAGATATATCTTATCATCGCACCTGTTTTATCACCGACATTCACCTGAACCTTAGACTCTAACTGCCATCTGTTCACAGCATGCAGACTTAACCCTATACAACCACAAATACATTATGTTTTCTCCTAATAAGGTTACCAATGCCTTCAATAAAGTCGAAATATTGTGGTTACCTGACCATCACACCTCCCTATATGGCCAAAAGTATGTTGATACCCTTCCAAATTTTGTACTTCAAGTGTTTTCAGTGAAGGGTAGTGGTAATGGTACAACATACAGAGATATTTGAGACAATTGTGAGCTTCCAAGCATGTGGCAACAGTTTCGGGAAGGTCCTTACACCATCACCAACCCTTGTGCACAGGACTGGATTTACTCTCTGTGCTGACCCAATGCCAGGTTCCTCAATGCGCCCACCTGTATGGGCTTTCTTCTTATGCAACTCCAGAACAGTAAGTTAGTAGTGAAAAAAGACAAACATAAAATTGGCACGTGGTTCTAACCTGTCCTTGGTTTATCTAAAATCAAAAAACATTTTTGGCTGACATTCCACTTTCATTTCCAGGGCAGTAATGAGGACCTGCCAGGGGGAACAGACTTGAAATGCTCAATAGACTAGGAAGGATAAAGAGGACAGACGTATAGCTTGCACATTTAAATCAACACCAGCAGCCCTCACATTTCTATCGTGACAGGCTTCCTATAGGGATGAGGCAGACTTTTAAAATGCTGGTGTCAGGACCAATTTTAAGCAAAGAAGAATCTTTCTCAAGGCCATCTAAACCCACCATTCATCCATACTTTGGAACTATTGGAGCTTGTATTCTTTAGATGCATAAAGCTCATAGAAAAGTCAAGATGGGAATGACATTGTGTCAGTTTGATCCCAAATATCTTTGGTCCATGTACAAAATAATTGTTGGCCCTTATAAATCCAGTTCTACTCATGAATCCGCATTAATATTCAGTGCGCCTACAGGGGTGTGACATTTCTCCAAAATTCTATAAATGTTCAATATAGCTGAAAAATTCATTTACAAAAGGTGGCAGGATCCAGACTGGGGAGAGAAGGGAGAAAGAGAGAGGAAGGAAGAGAGAAAGAAAGCAAAAGAAAGAAGGGAAAGAGAGGAAGGGAAAGAGAGGAAGGGAAAGAGAGGAAGGGAAGAAGACAGAAAACAATAAGAAGGAAGGGAAAATGGATGGAAAGATAAGAGAAGCAAGGCAAGATACTAAAAAGGAAAGAGAAGCAAACAAAGCAAAGGAAGGGAGGGAATGGAAGGAAAGGCATATTAAAAGGAAGTGAGCGAAGGGAGAAAGAGTAGGAAAAAGAGAAGGAAAGGGAAGGGAAGAGAGGAAAAGGAAGAAAAGAGAAGGAAGAGAAGCAAAGAAAATGAAAGGAAACAGAAGAGAAGGGAAAGAAACGGGAGGACAAGCAAAGGGAAGAGAAGGAAAGGGGAGGGAAAGGAAGGGGAGGGAAGAGAAGGAAGGGGAGGGAAGAGAAGGAAAGGAGAGGGAAAGGACGGGGAGGGAAGAGACGGAAAGGGGAGGGAATAGAAGGAGAGGGGAGAGAAAGGAAGAAAAGGGAAAAGAAGTAAAGGGAAGGGGAAAGAAGGGAAGGGAAGAAAAGGAAAAGGAAAGGGGAAGGAAAAGGTAAGGAAAGGGAAAGGAAGGTAAAATCCCCCTGTAAGCAGTTCATATTAAACAAACATACAAGTCAACATGCTAACTTAACACTACCACATACTACCACCCAACTATGTTTTTCCGCCTCTGTGCCCCCAATGACTTTATCTAAGTTGGTGTTTCCACAGTACTAGGCACCTACCCAGGTAACCGTGCCCAGGCCTGACAATAGGCTACTTAAACACAGGCCAGTGGGAGAAGACAGGTGTGACCCATAATCGGAGGTTTGGGATTTTAATGGGGTTTCCAGTGGTGGCGGGGCAGTGGGGATTTCAAGGTGTGAGCTGCTTTACAGCTACTTGGCTTAGTTACTTACCATGGAGAAGCGTTACAGCCTCTGTGGTGTTTTTATTGTGGCCGGTGTCCACAGGAATACCTGTCAGAGGTTCTAACCCTTCCTCACTCTTTCCACTTTAGGAGGAACTTGTTATGATGTGCACATTTCAGAATCTAGTGAAATAAAAAGTACGATGAAGGTGTTAAGTTTTGTAAGTGAACTTACCTTTGCTGGATCGAACGTTTTAAACTGAACCCCGGACGTAGAACTATAGCTGTCCGTGGATGTGTGCTGCTTCACTCGCTCCCTCAAGTTCTGTAAAAATATAAATAAATATCTGTATCAGCAAAGAACAATCACATCGGACTATCAATAGAGAAGAGCTTTACATGGTCCAGACAAGACTGTTAGACAATAAAAACATACCGCAAATGGATAAATACTACATCCAACCAGGGCCAGATTTCCCACTAGGCCAACCAAGGCCCGGCCTTGGGGTAGCAGGCAGTAGAGGGGCAGCAGGGGTTTGGAATTCATATCTCCTGACGGCCGGGACATGCAGTTCCAGGCGCCGGGCACGTAATTGTTTTCTACATTTAGCCCTGCTTTGGGCAAGCAGGGCTAAATGTACAGCGGGGAAACACACACATGCACTACCCTGGTATCTGCCGAGGGACCAACATTTTTTCATGGGGAGGGCCTTCAGCCCTCATCCACACTGGAATCGGCCCACTCGTATAGCTCCGTGCTGCTTGCAGGGCGGTACCGAACAGTTACTGGGAAGGACAGGTGCTGCGTGTGATTAGTACGCAGCCCCCGTCCTTCTCTATGGGACTACGTGGCCGTACGCCCCCCTACGCTCACCTCAAGTGCAGGTACGTAGGGGTGCGGGTTTCCTGGCTCGGACGCAGACGTGATCCATCCAGTTAGCGTACGAGTATGCTCACCCGCACCCCTACGGACGTGCAGGGCGGGTGAGCATAGGGGGGCATACGGCCGCGTAGTCTGAGAGAGAAGGACGGGGGCTGCGTACTAAATCACACGCAGGACCTGTCCTTCCCAGGTGCTTCTCGGTACGGCCCTGCGCGGATCTGTATGTGCGGGCCGATTCCAGTGTGAATGAGGGCTCATGGTTTCTTACAATGGTACCCTGAGGTTTCTAGTTATGCCTCTGCTATAAAGACTCAGCATCACATGTGGGCATTACCTAGGGTATGCTGCATGCAATCTACAACCTACCCCGAAGAGCTGATCCTAACACTAACGTCAACTAACTCCTACATTTAAAATAAGTCCAGACTAATGCGTTCTACATAGCCAACATTTCCACATGGAATCCTCACAATTCGGCTGATACTGAAAGATTCCAGCGCCAAGCTGTCCATTGCTGTTCCATATTAAAGGCGATTTCTGATTGGTCACTGTATTGTGCACATCATCAATGCTGTTTGCCCGGCGTCATTAACTAAAGCCAAATAATGCGTAGTGAAGAATCAGCACAAAGACCATGCCTGTGTGAAACGCTTTGTCCCCCAGGGGCGGCACGGGCCAGGAAAACATAATGTCACCGCGGACAGATACGCCATTGTGTGGTGGCCATACGCTCAGCACATTCACACTTGTTCTATACAGGAACTGACTGTATCACCCGGCACACTTGTACCATCCAGATCAGAAGCACATCGATCTCCTTTGTACAGCTTCCTCCTCTTCTTAGTTTTTTTCCAAAGGGCAGCACAGTGGCCGGCACCCAAATCTGAAGCCTTGGGTTCAGTTCTGAACAGGGAAAATTTAGAGTGTAAGCTCTTCTGGTGAAGTGACTGGTGTTAAGGGTTCTATGCACCTAGCAGAGTCTTGTAGAGTTGTACCTAAATAGGCAAAAGGTTGTGGACATTTGACCATTGCGTCTGCTATACCGCCAAAGGTATTCAGACAAGCCTGCGAATTATTGGGTTCAGGTGTCTCCAGTGAAGGGTGCTAGTAATGTTACAGCTCACAGAGACATTTTGAACAATCATGTGCTTCTAACCTTGTGGGGACAGTTTGGTGAAGGACCTTTTCTGTCACAGCAAGACTGTGTACCAAGCCATCTCCATAAAGACATGGATTGATGAGTTTGGTAGAGGAACTCAAGTGGCCAGTCCTCAATAAGGATGGGCTCGGGCGTGTTTGCAGCTCCACGTGCCGAGCCCGCCAGGAAGCTGACAGCGCCAATCACAGGTACTGCGACATTTTCCCGGTCCGCAGCTGCGGAGATCGGGAAATGTCTCTGTGCCTGTGATTGGCGCTGCGCGCAGTCAGCTTCCTGACGGGCTCGGCCCGTGGAGCGCCGAACACGCCCGCGCCCATTCTTAGTCCTCAACCCTACACCTTTGGAATGTGTTTAAATGTTGAGTGTGGTCTTCTCATTCAACATTAGCACCTGACCTCAAAAACATTCTTTTGGCTGAATGGGCACAAAGTTCCGCACACTCCAAAACCAAACAAAGGAACTCACAACAGATATGGTAGGAGCCGCTCATAATGGGCACAGAAGGTGTACAGACCTGGGAACTCAGCACAGGGATGGTGGGAGCTCCTCATAATGGGCACAGCAGGTGTATAGACTTGGGAACTCAGCACAGAGATGGTGGGAGCTCCTCATAATGGGCACAGCAGGTGTACAGACCCGGGAACTCAGCACAGAGATGGTGGGAGCTCCTCATAATGGGCACAGCAGGTGTGTAGACTCGAAAACTCAGCACACGGATGACGGGAGCCCTCATAATGGGCAAAGCAGATGTACAGACCCGGGAACTCAGCACAGGGATGACGAGAGCCCTCATAATGGGCAAAGCAGATGTACAGACCCGGGAACTCAGCACAGGGATGACGAGAGCCCTCATAATGGGCACAGAAGGTGTACAGACCTGGGAACTCAGTGCAGGAATGGTGGGAGCTCCTCATAATGGGCACAGCAGGTGTACAGACCCGGGAACTCAGCACAGGGATAGCGGGAGCTCCTCATAATGGGCACAAAAGGCGTGCAGACCTGGGAACTCAGCACAGGTATGGTGGGAGCCCCTCATAATGGGCACAGCAGGTGTACAGACCCGGGAACTCAGCACAGGGATGGTGGGAGCTCTTCATAATGGGCACAGCAGGTGTACAGACCCGGGAACTCAGCACATGGATGGTGGGAGCCCCTCATAATGGGCACAGCACATGTACAGACCCGGGAACTCAGCATAGGAATGATGGGAGCTCCTCATAATGGGCACAGCAGGTATGTAGACCCAAGAACTCAGCATAGGGATGGTGGGTGCCCCTCATGATGGGCACAACCAGTGTGAAGACATAGGAACTGTCAGATGGTTTCACTCTCCAGCATCTACCAAACACCAAAATATCAGTTTTGGATGGCTTGTCCCTCTAATATGTGCCCGCCCCGGTATGATCCCTGGCATTCTTCCCAATCTTGCTGCTGTGACTCACTCTGCACACACAGGGTTACCTAGTGAAATGACATTCGGTTGCTCGCTGTGGCGTTCTTACACACCGGCTTATCAATAAATAAATATTTATATTTCGGGGAGGAGGCTGATGCGTTTATAACGATACATGTGACCTTCACCGTCCTCTGGGCTGGAACAATTGTTCTGCTAGCCCAACTAATCAAGGTGAAAAGGGCGGCTCCCAGAGAACTATAAGTCCCAACCTGGACAACAGCAGGCTTAGCTCAAATGAACGAAATATGGGGAGGGCTGAGGATCGTAATGACTGCCGGACATCTAACATTTCCAAAATGAATAGTCAGCACTTGCAGCCTCCATGTTTTCTTCAAGAAAGGCTTCCTTTAAAGAGAACCTGTTGCAATGGGGCTTGTCTAAGAATTTGAACAGTCTGAACAATGTAACATTATCATTGCTTGTTGGAAGCAATGCATGATGGGAGATGTAGTCTTGAGAAATGAAGATCGCATCACATTAAGCAGCAGGGAAAGTGATGGAAAGCACACTGGGAATCCTAGAAGTTGTTGGAAGTGACGGGCAGACGGAAGGCAGCGCTCACTACAGAAAAGGGATTTCATTGCATTATCACAAAACAAGTCTAGTATGTATTCCTATTACAATGCTGATGTTATAACAGGAGAGGATTTGCTGGGACTCAGCTCCTTTATATAATGGAATCCCATAGAGGTCTACTTTCTGCTATGTTGTTTCATGCTGTTATGTACACTCAGGAGCTGAGAGATTACTAAAGGTTTGTAGGTGGCATCTAAACTCCTTACCGAAGGCAGGCCCTATAATGAGGCTGTTGCCTTGTGTGGCATCTCTTTGGGTCATGATGGGGGGCAGACATAGCAGCATGGCTTCTGCACAATAATTGCAGTGTTCCTGCTGCCCCCTTTCCCCCCAGAGTTGGACAAGGAAATGTGTAAGGGCCACACAAATCTCTCTTCTCAGCTCTTAGCAACCTGGGACACTATGGCCAGCGTCCAATCAATCTTCTGGCAACCAGTGAAGTCACTGGTAGCCAAGAGCTGGGTGTGACGCCGGTCAGAGTCAGGGCCGGCCTTAGGGGTGTGCGAGCCGTGCGGCCGCACAGGGCGCCTAAAGGCCTAAGGCCGGCCCTGGTCAGAGTGCCCAGGTTGCTAAGAGCTGAGCCAGTAGATGCAGAGCCATACACATCTCCCCGCCCAGCTCTTAGCAACCTGGGCACTCTGACCGGTATCCCACCCAGCGCCTGGCAACCAGTGGCTTCAAGAGCTGGGCAAGAAGATGCAAAGCCGTCAACATCTCCCCACCCGGCTCTTAGCAACCTAGGAAGCTCTGGCTGGCGTCCTGCCCATAGTTTTATGTTGCCTTGAGGGGGGGTGCTGCAGGTGGTGCATACAATCATAGCAGCAGGAGGTAGGTAGAGGAGACAGTGCCGCCAGACACAAGAGTGACCCCACCCTCTGAAGTCTCTGCATCTCCCGGTCCAGCTCTTAGCAATCCTGGGACGCTCTGGCCGGCATCCCACCCAGCTGCAAGAGACTTCACTGGTCTGGCCTAGGTGGCGAATAGACTAGGGACACCCCTGGTCATAGGTGTTCCATTAAAGAGATTTCTGTAGACACAACAGGAAGTGAAACGATATCTCTCCAAATTTAGGTAAATCACCTCTTGATGGTCACCAGAACCAGTGTCCCCTTCGGAAGATTTCCACTTATTCCTGTTCTGATGACAACTCAAAGTCTTGGGTTGTCCCTCATTTTTCATTCTCCGTGACAATGGTCAGCGTCCTAATGGTGGTGAATCTCCGTAGCGGGGACACAGATGGTGATAAAGAGC